TTTTAAGCAGATGGTTTGTTCTTTTATCTTATGAACACTGTGAATAATGTAATGAACAATGGTTTCTGTTTCCTTTGGCAACTAGGAAGCTTAGAGCCAAATTAAAGGCCTTGCCTCAGAAATACTGTAAGCATGGTATATATACCTGCAGCATTATTTCTGGTTCCACTATGTACTCATCCTCATTGTTCTTTCTTATCTTGCCACAATCAATTTACCCAATCCTGTCATATAAAGGCATCTCTCCAAATTACTTCTGGACAATCCTATATGAGTGAATGAAGTATAAGGATAAAAACATATAGATAAAAAAGGTAGATACCCTTAATGGCAGTTGGTTACTTACCTTTGCTCTTCCTGATAAAGACTTTATGGAAATCAGAGTAAATTTCAAAGAAGTGATTTAATTCAGAGAAATCAGATTCCATGCAAACCAGTAAGCTAACAACTGGGTCACAACAAGCAAATACATGTGGCTAGGACCTGATGATCAGAGAATTGGCTGGCTTAAATACCTAAGCAGGCTGAGTTCCGCTGAAATGTCCACAAATCCTGGGTTTCTGACCAAGCATGCTGGGATCAGGATTCAGGTACAGACTACCATCTTAGGGATCAACTTTTAGGAAATCTAAAGCTTTATCATAACAGCCAAACCATTTTGTGGAAAAAGTGTAAGGCAAAGGAGAGGAAGCAAGAAGGTATTATTTTCATATCCTTATGCTCCTTTCTCCAGAATATTCTTTTTTTTTTTTTTTTAAGATTTTATTTATTTATTTGACAGAGAGAGACACAGCGAGAGAGGGAACACAAGCAGGGGGAGTGGGAGAGGAAGAAGCAGGCTTCCCGCAGAGCAGGGAGCCCGATGCGGGACTCGATCCCAGGACCCTGGGATCATGACCTGAGCCGAAGGCAGAAGCTTAACGACTGAGCCACCCAGGTGCCCCTCTCCAGAATATTCTTAAGTTACCTGGAAACTAGCTAAGAAATACTTTTTTTTTTTTTTTAAAGACACCCAGGTTTGAGTTATTAATTCTAGATACAATCTATGCTGAAAGTCTAGACTTTCCTACAATCTGCCATCTTGCACCTTTAGTCTTTTTTTTTTCTGGCTCAGTTCTTGTTAGAGCTAAGGAATAGTAAGTAACTAAAGGAACTAAGAATAAAAGGGTTTATATAAACCTTCATGTTCACACTTTAGGGAAGATAACATTCAGTGTTTTCTAACTAGTGGCCCACTAGCTGAGTAGATAGGTGTGAGAAAGAAGAAGGAGTTGGTAATAACACCCGAACTTCATGGGGATACTTGAACTACCTTTACAAACCTACAAGTGACCCAGTTCCTGTAATGCCTCAAAACTATTAATGAATCACAGTGCTTACAGAAATAGTTATGACTTCTTCTCGGGCATTCAAAGCCTACTTTTACTCCAAGAATACCCTGAAGCATACCTTTAGCATAAGGTCTATGAATCAGAAAATAATTATTCTAATTTTATTCATTTTTTTCCTCTTCTTCAAACTCCCTCTCATCTCTTAAAATGTTTATCTCATCTATATATTTGTCTTCTACCAAACCATTCATCTTCCTCATCCTTTATCCTACAAATGACATGCCTTGTTAAACAGCTGGCAGGGACACTGTTCTTTCTACCTAGAAGCCATCCTTCCTCTTACAAATCAGTGTGGCACCAGACTTTCAGTGTTCAAAACACTTGTCTAAAGGTATCATAAATTTACTTCTAACCTCTGGAGGCAGGATAATGATAATGTGCCTTCATATGTAACTTCTACCAATTAGTCCTAGTTTTTCTTTCATTATTTCTATGGATACACAGAACCATTCACAGGAGTGTCTGAAATATTCGAAGCCAAAAACAGTATCATCTTAAGGATCCTGGAATATCTGAAGTGCAGGAAGCTCATGTTTTTCAAGTGAGTTTTCCAGGGAATCTAATCAAACTAAGACTACAACCCTTTTCTTCCAAGATCTCTCTAACCTGTTCTCTGCTCTTATTCTAATCATGACTTAAAAATCTGGGCAGTCGCAGACATTTCTAGTCACTTAGGGCCCCTGGATATAGGATAGAGAACTCTTACATAGACCAGCACTACTCAGGCACTAAGAAATGACAACAGAAAACATGGCAGGAGGGCAAAATAATTACTTTTCACATCCTGGACCACAGGGAAAACAATGTGCCTTCTTTAATAAATAGTAAGTGCTAATTAATAACTCTTAATAATTAAGTAATAATCCTTAATAAGGGTCTGCCAGGGCTCCCGGTGAAAAAGATTGTTATGTTTGCTTTATGTACTATTATAAGAAAAGTGTATTAGAGCATATTAAGTAATGGATTTGTATAATCTACCAAAATTTTAATGAGATACTTGAGTAGGCTTGGTTTACAGAGAGAACCACACAAACAGTATTCAAATAGAACTGTAACTGTGGTAAATTTCTGCATGGTTTGAAAAATAATTTTATCACTCTGAAAACTTAATAATTAAATGGTGAGAGTCAAGTAATTAATCCCTCCTCAGCTGGGAAGCTCATTCTTAGAAGAACATGACTCCCTGTGAGGAAATGACTGCTTGTGGGTTCTTCTTTTCCTCCTCCTCCCTTTCTGCCTCCTTCATTCTCTCCTTCCTCTCTCTTTCTTTCAGTATCTCATTCTAGCATAGTTTCTCGTTGACTTTAATTGATAATCCTTTTGCTTCACTGGGCTGCCTCAAGGCCTAAAGATCTGCTAAACCACTCACTCATCCTAGCAATAATAATACTCCAGTGCTCAGAAAACAAGTCGGAATTGGACAGTCCACAGGAAGTGGGGAGAAGGGGCACTGCATCTACGGGGCAGAAACTAGCAGGACTGAAGGCAACTGCTCTACCCATCCTGTTGCAAAAAGGTGTGTGTGGGGGTTGGGGGGGGTGGGAGGGATCTTTAAGTGCCGAATGGCCTGTGTTTGATCCTCAGTTTTACTTCCTTTTCTAAACCTCTAGGACTTCAGCGTTCCCTAGCAACAGAAGCAAAGGATCAATTTAGAAAAGTGCTTTCCAGAGCATTCCTATCTAGCTACTGACCAAGCCATTTTAGTTTATGTGATCAAGCACTTGAAATTCAAGGAGATTTATCACTGACTGTCCTCGGCAGCAAAACTGGGAGAGCACCGCTTGATATGTATGCTACAAATGTCTAAGATGACTGATTCTACCTCCACTGCACAAGCATGGATTGGTTTCAGTAAGAATTAGTAGTCTCTGCATCTCACTGTGAGCCGACAGTGTTGCTAGGGAAACTGATAATTATGTGGCAAAATGGAGGGTGTAGAATAGGAAAAGGGTTCAGAAGAAATATAAGGTTTTGATCCAAATCAGCATGTTAATAGTAGAGTTTGTTGATCTTCTGTAGTCCCATAATTTAATAAATACCATTAATTATATGTTTGACAAGATACAGATTTCTGAATGGAAATAAATGAACAGAAATGAACTGAACACTGGAAAGCCACTGGCTACTGATCATACTTGGTGCATGTCACAGCAGAAACACTTATTTATTATAAACTACAATTAACTTAATGGAATGAAAATAGTCAAAAAGGTGAAAAAAACCACTGATTTGTTTTTTCCTGACCTTTTTCTTTAGAAATCAATCTTCTGGAGTTCCAGATATAAAAATTATAATCCTATAAAAGCTTTTATTCACCTCAGTGACCAAGTCACAAAACCTCAAAACACCCGTTAGTATGGAGAAAACAGAAGTGTTACTATTTTTATATTATACATAGTAAAACCAATCCAGAGATGCTAAATGACCTTCCTGGAGACACACAGCTCTACAGTTACTCGTAATGCTGGTGCTAAACACTACTCTTTAAGCTACCACGGGGGCATTATTTACACATTATATTTTATTAAGGGAAAGCCCAGCAAAAGGATATAAATGTAGTAAATGGTCTCGAATTTCTAGATCACACTTTAATGTTAAATGAAGATTTCCAATACTTTTTATTTTTAATGATTAAGAGTGCAGTTCTAAAAGTTAATGATATGATATAAACACTTGTGTATCAAGAGAAGTCTCGTTGGAGACATTTCAGTATGTGAGAAAGATCATCAGAGAACTAAACCGGTTGCTCTTTAGTGAACAGTTTCCCTGCATTGTCAAATCACCACCTGTGAGTTGTCTGGTGCTGCTTCACAACATTCTGTTCCTTTCCCCTTTTCCGGGAACTATTAGGTAAAAACTTCAAAAGACGAAACCAAAGGTTTTATATCCTCCTGTGTATTTATCTTTATAAACTCTTATACATTTTCTAATTTACAAATATACTATAGATATTAAAACATTCATTCACATTCATATACACACAACCTCTGTATGGATGTGTGTTTGTGTGAGAAAACAAGTGACCGTTTTATGGCTGGTGCATAAAATGAGACAAACATTTATGATAGCAAATGTTTCCAGGGTTTTGATCTTATTTGCTCTTTGACAGGAAAGACTGAGAAGTATAGAGAGGACACCAAGGTAAGAGCACAAAACTATACAGAACTTCTTAACTCAATGAATTCCAAGTGCTAGAAGCAGGGAGTCAGCCTTCTGATGTTAGGAAAAAGATTTTCATTCTAATGACTTAAAAGTTACAAGATTTACTTATTAATACATAAGTAGTAGCTCACCCTAGATGGGATGAACTATCATGGTAAGGTAGTTTATTTACTTATATTTTTAAAGTAGTTCATTAAGTCTATCAGTATTATGATGACTTAAAAATATTTGGCTTAAGTTGCAATTTTGTTATTTCCTTTCATCAAGGCATTGGTTTTTAATAAAACAAGAGCCAAATGATGGGTTCTTATTTTGATAAGACTTTTCTTCTTTCTCATGGCAGGAAGGTTGTCTCAACTTTTAAATCTCTGGGTAAGAAAAAGAAGAACGTAAGGCCAAATTTTATAGTCACTGGAAACAATTTTTGTGGTTGGTTTATAAACAAACCTTGACTTAGGCCATCTTGACAAGATGTCTGCTTGACATCCAAATTCTCCATGGTATCTCCTTTAGAGACGTCACCAAGAGATGTTCTTCTTTCAAAGATGTTGTTGTTATTGTTAACTTGAGTCCCATTTTGCTTCAGTAGTCTGAACACCTCAGCTTCCAAATCTCTAATCTAAGGGGGGAAAAAAAAATCCATCCATAAAACTCTAAGTCAGCACTCCTCTCTAAGTACTCAGCAAAACCATCCTATCACTTAGTGGTTTTGAGCATATAACTCACCCGTACTTGCAGACCTTGAACTTCCACAAGATGAGCTTTTTCCAAATCTTCTATTTTCTTTCTTTCTGCTTCCTGTCTCTTGATGAAATCAAGTTCTCTTAAGAAAAAAATAAAAGATCTGATGGCATCAAATACTCAATAACTGAGGAAACATGTGAAAGTTCTTATCTGAAGCAATAAACTGCACAGTGGGACAAATAACTGGGCAGCTACTTAAATAAACAACACTCAATCACAGAAGAAAGGTGTCTAATAACGAAAGCAAATAAAACATTTTAATGGATTGGAAATCAAAGAAGAATGCTTGGATTCTGCTTACTGGGGTTTTCGTTTGTTACCTCCTGATTCTAGGGCACCCATACAGGTCTAGAAAGAAGCTACTGAACTAACCACCCACCTTGGCTGATTTAGTGGAAATGACTACATGTCACACAGTCATAATGCCATATTTACAAAGTCAAACTTCCTAAACCGATGGGACTGGATGCTAAGAGTTTACAGAAGATAATTATAATTTGCTTTCTACGAATGACAGCGGCGAAGGACTGGGCGGGTCAGAAACACTGAGGGGGAGCCGTCGCTTACACACCAGAGGAAAATAGGGGGAGAAGGAGAAAATATCTCCATTCTGAGAGCCTGGAATACAACCTGCAAATTTGGCAACATTTACTATAGAAGTTATCACATAAAATACAATTAGGTATGACATTTTTGGCTGGAAGAGTTAAAATAGCGATGTACTGGATTCATGACTGCAAAGAGTAATTTCCCCCTTTTCACAATAAATATTTTATAGCAGTCTACTTTAAGTATGAAAAATATTATTTCTGTGATAGGAAGTAACAGAGACATTGTGAATCTTACACATACGCTTAGCTTCTAAGGCTTGGCCTGGAAGACCAGAAGTGGTCGGGCATGACTCTATTGTTCTGGCTGGCCAGAGGTACCTGATGAAAAAAATCCAGTAACCATCTCCCTGAAATTACACCAAAATCCAACAGAGGGAGGCAAAGCAGCACTCGTGTGGAAAGAGCTGATGAGATTCAAAAGCAGAGTGTGCTGCTGGACTCTCTCACTGCAGTGAACTGAGCCCCTGGTGATTCTCTCAACAGCTGAGCAACGGAAAATGGGAGGGCAGGTGGTCTTGCTAGTCGAGATTTACACTATCTGAGGTGGGAAAGTTCTGCAGTCCCTGACTCTAACAAGAGAGATAGAGGAAGCCTCTGCAAGGCCCCAGTTGCTGCTTTGCAATGGTCAGTCATTCTGCGTGCCTTCGACTGGGCTTCTTGCTTCCTACTCAGAGCTGTTCCCAAAAGGACAGAGATTCACATGCTTTCATAGTTACTAGGAATGACTGACTATCAAAAAGAAACCAGGGGGTAACCAACAGCCAAGAACTGTAAAACAAACCAAATATAATCTCACATGAAAAATGATAGAAGTGATTTCCAAAACTGAATGTCTGAATGCCTGAATGCTTTATAACTGCTTAAAGGATTACCAAGATTATCTTCTCTATTCTGTTAGATGTTACAAAATTACTGGATACAAGACTTCTTTAGATGCACACAACTATTCCTTAGTCATTAAAAGCTGCTTACTTTTGTTGAAAATCCTTGATCAACTTCTTTGCTTTGTTGTATTTCTTCTCCAAGGCCTGATACTGGCTCTGAGTCTCCTTGAGGTGCTCGTTCACTGTGTGGCATAAGGTCTGAGCCTCAATCCAGTAGCTCTCCAACTTCAGCATTCTCTCTTTATTCTCTTCTATGTTCTGTTGGAGTTGGGTTTTTTCTAGTTCCCACCTCACTTTCTCATTTTCTGCTGCTTGCAGCTGGATAAAGCAAATGTCAAGGCAAGGATAGTCTGGGTATTCTGCAGCAAAATCCATCATGTTTTTATAGCATGTTTTAAATCAAGTTCCATTGTCACCTAGACTCAATCATCTAGAACCTTGAGATGAGAAGAGTAAGACTTATTTTCAGCATTTCAGAGATTACGAGATGGAAGCCTTGAAAAGGGAAATGCTTTGTCCAACCAAGGTCACACATCTGAGAAATAATAAAACCTGGACTTGATTTCCCCTCCCATGATCTTTCCATTGCACCATATGGTTTGAAATTCTGTGAGCAGTACATACTGTTTTAGAGTTTGACTGGATTCTATCCAATGAACTTCAATGTACCTTCTTTTAGACGTTTTTCCTACATATAATTAGATGTAAAAAACTAATTGAAAAGTGGAAGGGGGAGAGGCACACTGGGAAGGAGAGAGAAGCAGAAGCATAGTTTGGCCTAATAGTTAAGAAGGGGTCTCTGGAGTCATTCAGTTTACAGTTGAAGCCCAGCTCTACCCTTAGTGGCCTTTAAACCTTGGGCAAGTAACTGAAGCACTCCAAGACTCAGGTATATTATCTATAAGATGGAATTGTGATGTAACACAACAGCATGCCTGGAACAGCTCTGTGGGCATAATCTGATAAATGTTAGTTATTTTTACTTTGTTTTTTATCCCTTTTAATAATATGATTACATCCTTTATTTCAACTGACATGAACATAGTCTGTAGCTCATTATTTTGCTGGCACTGTTCTGAATTTCCAGAGCCTTATAAACTTCAATTTGCATAAAAGTGTAAAAGATAGTGTAAGTAAAAATATAAATCATTGCTGACTTATTTTAAATCCCTCTGATGGAACAAAAAGGCAGCTTCCTGTGTTTCTGCTTCCAGAGACTCTTAGGAATAGATAGTATACTACTCCGACTCCCTTATTTCTACGGAAATTCAAGGCTGATCCTTTAGGTAAGGGGTCAAAGGTCATTTATTCACACTAATGGACCTTTAAACTAGTGCTTCATCTAGTTCACATGCTTCCTTTCAAGTTCAAAAGGATGCAGTCATTATAAACTACCAATTTTCAAAATCGAAGACATCCCCAAACCATACCACATTCAGCAAATATATATATATGTATATATATATATCTTTTAATGTATATTTTAAACTAAATACATTGACAAAACAGATTACAAAGTAAAAAAATAAAAAACATTTCAAAATTAGGAATTCTATTATCAACATGGATATAAAGTGTCACAATAAAGTAAGCTACTATAGCTATTACATGCCAATATAATAAAGAGAAAAATACACAATACTAATTTATAGGATTTTCTAAATTAAATGTTTTTGGTCTAACATAAGCTTTGTTAAAGCACTTACAATCCACAGGGGAATCTTTCTCCCTGGTTATAACCAACAATTAAAAAAAATCTGTTCCTCCATTCTGTGCTAAGAAACAATAGCAATTTAAAACAAGACTAGGTTTTTCCTGCATCTTTTATTAAGCAATGTTTTGTATTCAAGTTGCTTATTTACCAACCACTACTAATTTAAAAATGATTATTCACAGAGCTTGGCTGACACCATGAATGATGTATAGACATGTTTTGGCTTAAGAGCTACAGAGTTATTAGCTGAGAATACCATTTAACCAAAACAGCCCTGCTAATTCATCTCCATTTAAAACACATGGAAAAACCAAAATAAGTGTTCAATGTGAACAGGAAAACAGATCATTAGTGGTGGAGGGAGAAATTATGTCTCAGTTTTTAAAAGACCACAAAAACAATAAAGAATATTATTTTTAAAGTAATTCAAAAAATATTTTTAAATCCTTGAAATTACATATTTGATAAACCTAGACACAATTCTAGGAATTTACAAGTACCTTATAATTTACCAACTAAACATGCCCTTTCGAATCTTGTATTATTTCATATATAAACTAAAAATACATACTCCCCCTTTTTATCAAGACCTGTTTTTTTCCACAAATTTAAATAATGCAAACTAAACTTGTCTAAAAATTTCCAGTAGCATCTGGCATCTAAAATCAATTATTCACATATCATATTAAATTTCATAATATTTAATTATTAGAAATTGGAATTTTTTTCTATGAAAAAGTATTAATGTGCTACATTAAAATACATTGTTTCTGATGAAGTTAAAAATAAGTAAATGAATAAACCTATTTAAAGTAAGATAAAGAGAAAGAGATACAGCGTAATAGCTTGTATAATATAACAGCATAATTAGTGGTCAAAACATAATTCGGATGCTAGAACCATTAACATTATTTAATTTTTGAGGAACTCTCAGAGGGAACTGGCCACATATGTGCAAATATGTAAATATGTACTTCTAAAACGCCGTGCTATTTTCACTGAGGGAGTATGGTGGTGCTTATCCCCTAGGGGCATGTGTCTCACTGGCAGGTCTGTCTACTTATCTAACAGTGGAAATGAACCTCTCACATTTGTACTCTTTCAAATGCACAGGAACAAATCCTTTAGTCCTAGGGTTGAATTTATTCATAGCGTCCGAAGTTTTAAAAAGTACAATTCAAACACCATTTAATGGTGCTTACCTTGGTCTTCAATTTTTGAATCTCTGCTTCTGTAACTGCATGTTTGATTTGCAACTGAAAATTGAAAAGAAAGAAAAAAATCTGAACTAAGAAAGTGTATCTATATTTTGGAAGCCTTGGCGGCTAGAAGAATACCTTATCACATAGCAGACGGCCCAGGAAAGTGCTGCAATGCAGCAGGTTGTAAATTAAAATGTCTAGTGTGTAAAATGACTCACTAGGTGCACACTAATGAAACACGGGGTCTATGGCCCACACTCCCTAACGGATTAGGTTACGAATTTAATGTCTCGGGGACTAAAGAAAAGACAACACATTTTCTAGCCCTCTCTGCAGCTCTTCCTCTACGATTTGGGTGTCAGGAAACTGTTGGAGAGCCGAGAGCCTTGTGGACCGCCCGGTTCGGGCAGGCAAGCGGGGCCCGGGGCAGCGCGAAGATCCGATTCCGAATCTGGAAGAAAGATGGCGCTATGGTCCCGCGAGTCCCACGCACCGAAGGCCGAGCAGCTCCTTCACAGCTCCGGCAGCTGCCAGGCGGAAGACCAGGATGCTGCAGTTCCACAGCGACATCGGTGGTGGTTGTTGTTGTTGTTGTTTTTAATTGCAGGAAAGGTACAGATCCAGATTTCTGTCCCCCCCAAAAATCGACTCCTATGGAGGACCTTGACCCCCAAAAGCTTTGGATGCAGTTTATTAGCACGCGAGCCGCCGTTTCCATTTGTCTGACTTCTCCCCTCCCCCCACTTTGTTTTCTCTGTAAGGGTGAGAAGAACAAACGAAACATTCATTTCCTCCAGGGATAAAGAAATGCACCAATATTTACAAAAACAATCTGCGGGTTGAAAGTCTCTTCTCCGAAATCCTTGGGGCCAGATGTCTTTAAGAATTTAGAATTCTTCCAATTTCAGAAAGGCAGGGAGATGCATTTTCCATAAATGGCCTATTACCCACAGCTTGGTCCAGGGAGGCACTCTGTGATCAAATACACGAGTATTTTTGCCACCAAACATACGTATTTCCCACTAAGTGAGGTAAATAATAGACTATAAATAGCATCCTGTCTGTTTTGGTCAGGTTTCCCACCAAATGAGTTTGCCACAAAATTATTTTAAACAAACTGTTTTCAGAGCATTTTGGATTTAGAATTGTACAAGAAGGGTTGCAAATGTCTAATATTGCTATGATCAAATGAGTCTAAGGTTTTCTTACCAGAAAAATTGAGTCAGTTGACGGGAGGATAGAAATGTGCACCTTGGAGGTCAGGACACCTCACAAAGCTCAGCGATCTTTGGTTTATGACTTGCTTTTCCCTGGTTTCCAGCCAGCTAGCTGGGACACAGGGGAAGGATGGAAAGAGGGGAGGCTCCCTCCTGCATGCGGTCGGGTCTCCTGTTATGTTTGAGGCCCTGTGGTCTACACTGCTACAGCTCTGCTAACTGCTCTCGGTCCTGAGGTGGTGGTGGGAGGGGAGGGGATTCTTGAAACTTTTAAAATTGATTCTGCCCCACGCTCATCATCTCTCTTTCTTTACCACTTCCTGATCTGCACACTCCTGCGGTCTTGCCGATGGAGCCCTTGCTCCTTCCACCCTCATTGGTTCACAGGGGCTCCTGAGCTCTAACAGTCTCTGGACAGGAAGGGGTCTTGGTGCAGCCGTCATTTCTTTATGAGGCCCCTAACAGGCAGCCCTGGCTCTCTTGGTTTCTCTCCATGGCCTTAGTGGTACAACACTTAACCTACCTACTTTTAGGAGTTGCTCAGAGCAACAATCTACCAGGCAAGTGCTGCTCCAAATTCATGGCAACTCCCTTCCACCTTGCTGATGAGGTCTGAGCTTACCAACAAAGCCCTAGTCTGAATGAATCTCTCAGAACCTGACAATGCCAGGCAACCTGGCCTGACATGCTCAAATGACCAAGTGTATGTATAACTCCAGCTCTGAGCCCTACAGTGAACATGTTACTTGCAGAATCACCAATCCTGGCATTTCTGGCCTCCCTTGAAGATGTAAAAAACTAGGGCACGTAGATGAAAACTGACCTGGCTTAGTTGTTACAGTGAATTGCTGTTAAAACCATGACTAGAACCTAGAGCTTCTGGTTCCTGATCCAGTGCGATTTTCCTTAGAAAATAAGGATTGAGTCAATAGGCATTTATTGAAGAGCTGCTATGGGCAAGATGCTATGAGGAGAAAGGATGACTCTTTCCCCTTCTAATAAATACCAGTGCTTATGTCCTCCACCAACAGAAACCTGATAAACTGAAAATGGCAAGATACTTGGATATTAGACATGCTACCTTATATATATATAAATATATCCATGTACACATGCACACATCTAGGCTGTCAGGAATTATTTTCTGTGGAGATCTTATACTTCGGTGGGCACACACTCGGGCATCCAGCAAATCCATGTGCCTAGGTGATTCTGAAGTATCTGGGATTGTTACTGACAAGAAGAGTGACTCTGTGATCTTTCTACCATGGCCAAGTGTGAAGCTAGACTGAATTCATCTCAGGCCTACCATGAAAGGACTCCATGATGCTGGAAAATCACTGACCCTCTCTTACCTTCACTTTGCTCACTTGTACGATGCAGTTCCTCATGGGTCATAACCTTCTTTATTGGAAGATTAAATGAGACAACCCACGTAAAGCTTTTAGCACAAGTGGCTAGCACAGAATAAGCCATTTAAAGTTAGCCCAGACTAAGACAAGAATGATCTGAAGAACTCAGATGTAATTACCACAACCGCACTTCTTAGTCAAGAGTGCTAAATTCTGTAAAATGTCACACCTGAAATAAAACAAACACCTCTGCTTCTATTTGAAGAGTAGCAAGAAATCAAAAGGGCAGATTTTACGACGAACGTTGCCACCATGGGAAAGTGCCAGATTTGATTTTCTCCGTGGCTGACTCCCTTCAACTGCAGGGTAACCAAGTATATGGCATGCAGCTTTGTTGGGACGTTGGATTTTCTTTGTTCAGATCACTGTGACCGACAGCAAGCTGCTTCTCCGGGCCCCGGCTTCCCATATGAAAAATGAGAGACCTGGATGGGAAGAACTCCAAGGTCCTTGCAAATACTACAGGTGTGACATTTACGAAATGAAGAGCCTGGAGATGGTTGTCATGGTTGCAGAGTCTAGAAATTCCTGTCTCAAAGTGAGCATGTTTATTCCTATGAAGACATATACAGATTAATCCACTGATGTGCGGGGCAAACCCAGGTAAAACTGAAACTGCCAGGTTGATCTCCACATATCCCACCCTCCCCTCCCACCAAAATGGGTAACAGAAGACAGTGGAACTCATTAGTGGTGAAGGGAGAGCACTGATAAAAGCTTGGAGTGCTACTAAGTACTGCCAAATTCTGTGGATATAGGAAAAACAGACTGAGGTCTGTAAATTCAGACATTATTTAGGAGATGGACAAAAGTTTCAGCTCAATGTTTTCTTAGAATTCCCAAAGCCTAAAATGACAAGACATGTAATTATTTTAAGGCTGTATGCACAGTAAGAGAATTTCTACAAACCCATCTCTATTAACAGGAAAAGTATCAAAAATAAACTAATCGAACCTTCATTTTACGTAGGAAGAAACTGTTTCAGTAGTGCATGCTGCAGAGCTAATAAGTGTCAGAGCCAGGTTTTGAACATTTCAGTCCATGGTTCCTTCCACTAAATACCTTACATTTGTAGGACACTTGATCTTTTTTATCATCTCCTTTATCATTGCAAATGAGGCTGGAGGGAAGGCAGACAGACACAGTCCACCTCATTGTTCAGACAGGGACAGAGGCCCAGACAAGTTACATGGCTTCTTCAAGTTCCCAATGGAAGCAGGTGATGCAGTGGAAAATATCTCGGGTCTGACTCTCCCTACCTCTCTTCACCATGCACCTAAATCAGCTAATCCCTACAAAAACTCATCATCACTGTGACTTCCTGGTTGAGGAAGTATTACTCCTCCTGGAAACCATGGATCACTTCTGGTAGCCTCTGAGTGTTCTGACACTAAATACAAAATGGCGCTCCATCAGCTACTGTTATTATTTGTGGAAGTTAGGAAGAAATAGCTCCCTCATTATTCAACTAGCATTTACCTAATGACACTGTGCTGTGCTCGTCGCATGACACAGAACCTACCTTCAAAACACTTACTTTAGGAGATTAATAAAGACCACCTTCTGCGAGAAGTTCCTAGATCACCCCGAGAGAAATATCACAGGGAACCTGCTCCTAGATGGCATGATTAATCTTTTATTCCCATAGCCGGGTCAGATGACCCTTAGGCTTTGGCCTATTTGTCTTATCTCCAACTTTGGCATATGGGCAGGATGAGACCGAGATAACCTCTATTTCACAGAGAGAGGAACAGAAAATTGCTTTTCAAAGAGGTGAAGTGACTTGACAACAGAAGCACAGTCGGTGAAAGGTCGTGTTTTCTTATTCCAGAGCAGTTCTCTCTCCATGTGTTTAATAACCTTTCCAAAGGAGAGATCAAGGGTTTGCACATCACCACCTGAGACTGGTCAGGCTGACTGTCGGGCAACAGGATTGGTTCATAGAAACTGAGCCTAAAACACCTGTTGGAATTTTGGGGCTTCAGAAAATCTAGATTTAGAGAGAATACTTGGGCAGAGAGGATATAAATAAAAAGAAAAGGTTAAGGATTGCAGGTCAGTGTCTTAACTTAAAAGACCAATCTCATCTCTTCTGTCATCTTTTAACGTGAATGCCAAAGATGTCCACCCTGGGATCACAGCACAAGTAAACACATGCCTCCTACAGAGAACAGAAGCTCTTACATAACACTCTGCTGGTGTACCTGCTGTGTACATTTTGTTTATTTCTTTCAAAAAGATGAATACAGAACATGTACCCTATCACTGAATCAATACAATCCAAATATAACTGCGCTAGAAATAGAAACATCCTTATGCAGAAACAGAAATGGCAAGACTGAACTTCTACACTTTCTTTACCTATCCTGTGCAAGAATGGAAAACATTTTTCTTTAGAAAGTGCAAAATACTATCTTTGCAGCAA